CAAATGATTTATCTCTATTTCAGGGATACCAGTAGTCATGTGTTTGTAATTAAATTTTAATTCGAATTTCAATTGTTTTAATTCAAATTTCAGTTGTTGTACAATCACCAAAAAATCCAATTATTAATCAATTTTAATTCAACTTGGATTCAATTACAGACCAATTAATTGAATTCATTTACCAGTCACGATTTTCAGCAGGAAAACTGTTAGACTTCACGAAGACAAAGAGCTAACCGAAGAAGTTGCGCCAAGCTGCGAATTGATAACTGCTCTCGATAAGCTTCCACTTGCCGGATGGCAGCTCAGAAAACCACCAACTAATTGGCAAAGCGCCATCGCTCTCAGTTCCTTTAAAAATTAGTATTTACATTAGAGACGTACAATTTACTGGCAAACTTTCTTTTGTTAGCGTTTTGTTAACGTTGGCACATGCGCTATCACTGGAGCTAATTTTGAGTGCTTTAGATTTCAAAAAAGCAAATAGAAAGGGAGTTTTAACTTGTTGTGCCATCAGAAGGGCAGGATCTGAGCAGTAGAATATTTCGAGGTATATTTCAAGCCCATTAACTAGTTCTATATAAATTGGTAATTTATTACAAAATTAAGAACTTAAAATTAATGTCGCTTTTATTGTGAGAAACGTGCAAGCAAGCAGACATATTTTATAATTTTGCACTGATTAAGCCTTTGACTTCTGCAGTAGCAGGAATGTTGAAGATGACCAAAAGGTTGTTAATGAGTCTCACAGTACTGAATTTTTTGTAAACCCATTGATACAATTTTTCAACATCGAAAAGGGCTGTATTTGAAAAAAGCACAACGAATTTTTCAAATGTATGGAAATTTTTAGAAGTAAAAAACATGTAAAATAAAATGAATAGGCATTTTGGGAAAATTTTTCTAGCCGTGGTCCGGGAGTGTCAATGTTTGAAACGAATTGGTGTAAAACACACACCAACGATATTTCAAAACGGTTAAAAACAAAGTTTTTCAAGCTTGAAAAGAGTTACTTGTCAGTTCTGAATTCCGAATTTCAGCAGCATTAAGATTCCGACTAAGTAATTTATTTACCTGACTTGGGCGGATTTGATAGTTATGTTTTTTAGCAAATACTTTGCCAACTGATACAGTTACTGAATAGATAACGACTGCTATCAAAAAAGCATCCAGTAGAAAG